AAATTTCTTGGCTATTGCGTATGTGATAAATTTCTGTAGCGAAAACTTCACCTTGGGCAATTCGGCATAAAAGACGTTTAGGGGCTTCAAAATCACTGACGGCCAGTCTGTATGACCTTCAAATTTCAAAGTAAAAAGAAAATCCAAGTAGAATATTCTTGTATGGCATGTCCACCGAACCATTGCACATTCAAACGACTAGGCCAACCACGTAGATCCAACTCCTTGCCAAGAGTGTGGTCGATGTTTGTAATGCAAAGGTGTCTAAACGACGCTATCTTACGTAGGGAGTGACTGGAAGTTACGGCACAATAGTTTAAGACTGCAACTCCTGAAGTAAACGCTGGTGAACTTTCTTACACCTGTCGATGGCACATTCTTTCTTTTGTCTGCAGTTACGAGTGATGTGACCCACGTTCAGGCGAGCAATGCACAGACGGTGTGACTTTACTTTCGACCATCTTCCAGACACTGATTTATCGGCAAAACGTTTGCAGTCTGATACTTTATGCGGGCCCTGGCGTTTTGGACACTCTTTCGTCTGCTGTTTTTCTTCCACGTGAAGTACTTGACGCTTCGGTTCACGAGAAGGAACCAGATTTTCATAATGAATCGAACATATTATATTTGCTAGTGAAATAAGCCACTCACTAAAATGAATGGCCGTAGCACGTGGCTGGATGGTAACGGCGTAACGTCCCACTCGATGCGCTTACTGATTGGCAGCTTTAATATAAGTTCATGGAGAAGCGTTGGGTTCGACAAATGATATTCCGCGTTAGTTGACTGCAAAATACAAAAATATTCTTTACCTTTATTGCAAATGGTATTAGCTTTATTAATCCACCCTCGAAAATTGGCATGATTTCCTTAACTTCTAACAGCTGACTGTGAATAAGCTGTTCTGGACGATCAAACCGGAACTTCAGTTGCTTAACGATGTAGCTCACATTTTTGGGATGGATCAACCATGACTTCACTGTTTCTCGTGCATCAGCCTTTAGACACTTTTGCAGTCGTTGGTTATTGTCGAAATTGCTATAACTATATACTGCCGTAGACTCGTTGAAGGCTGTATAAAACACGGGCCAATCCTCTGGCGGACCACTGCACTTTGTAAGGTCTATCAATTTCCGTGGCATGAACGGATGAAGTGGCAAGTACACCTGACGCGCACTGTACGCATAATTTGCAGTTGGAGCAAAAACTTGCAGCTGGGTTGCCCCAAATCCTTCTTATCAGGGCTGGTGTCGCAACCAACCCTGTTCCGACGGACTATTTCTGCTGCGTGTGTCATAAAAGCCTCCACCACTACTCCACCTCGGTTAGATACAACCAGTGCAATGGTTGGAGTCACCTTAAGACCTGCTCAGGCCTTAAGACTCACAGGGAGTGGACCACGAGTTATGTGGCCCCATGCTGCCAGCGTCCAATCACCAACAACCCTCCCTAAAGCCTTCACGGCAGTGCTTTCAGCACCTTTACCCACTCAGGGTAATCAAAAGACCTCCATGCTCCCCGCTGAATGACTCCCACCAACCTCCACCCCAATCCCTAAACACAACCAGCTCCTCATCCTCCACCCGTGCGAGGGCTACGTAGCAGCTTCTTGTCTCCCGCACATTCTGTTCCATGTCTAAGCGTAGTACGTCGGAACATGACCTCAGTCAAATGCAACTCTTGCTCTAGCTGGTGTCACTTTCGGACGTGCTCTGGCTTGCGCACCACCCGTGAGTGGAGCGATGCGTGTATTGCCAATTGGTGCGATCTAGGAAACGGAGTTGACCGCCCCAACAGATCTTCCCAGCCGGGCCGAATACAACATAATCCGCAAGGATTGCGATCGAGACCATGGTGGGGGTCTAGCGTTCATCCTGCACAACACCGTGCAGTATCGTCTTCTCGACGGCGACATCGACCGCAGGGATACTATCCTAGAATGCCAGGGCATAGCTATCCGGTCAGGTAATGTCGAACTCGGCGACATTAACGCGCATGACGATCTTTGGCATTCCAGCCTGTCAAACGACCGCAGAGGAATGGAACTGGCAGAACAGATAGACGATTAGACATTTAGTTGTGGATAATTGCCAAAGCTCTCCAGATATAACAAGTGCGGTCTGATAAACAGTATAGTCTGCCGACCTAAACTGACATTAGCATCGGATCACTTGCCCATACAAATCTCGATTGACAGGCCTCCCTACTTTGTTTCCGCGGACCACCGCACATTTGTTAACTTCAAAAAAGCTAACTGGCCCGCCTTCACGGAATTCACTAAGAACACCTTTAGTGCTCTTCCCACTCCATCAGACATCACCACTGGTAAACGTTTATTCCGCAGAGTCGTCGTGACCGCTGCCGCCCTCTTTCCGACAGAAGCGGCGGTATTAGTATCCAGGCGCGACACCCTACGAAGCTCCGATCACGGGAATCCCCTAATCAGTGATTTCAACGCGGAGACTCAAAGAGCAGTCAACAATCATAAACGGAAAAAGTGGAAGGAACACCTAAGGACCTGCAACCTTTCCCTTGGGACAACCTACCTCTGAGCTACAGTCAAGTCGAGACGTAATGACCGGGTGGAAATTTCATTCGGTGATCGCGCCTCGTCGGTCCCGAAGAGATGAGCGAGCTATTTTAGTCGACTTTTCACACTGCATCCCTCGGTAGACAAAGCGATGCGACGTGTAATCCGCCGTATGCGCAAACTGTCAAACACCAGCGCGGTGCTTGATTTATTTAGGGAGGAGGTTTAAGGGGTCATCGGAAAGGCGAAAGCCTCAAAACCATTGGCCCCGACGGAATAAACATGCTGATGCTCAAACATTTAGGACCAGCGGGAGCAGAATTATTCATGAGGGTCCTCAATTTGTCTTTGACCCCTCTAATGATACCCGATGTGTGGAAAATGGGCAGGGTGGTCCCGCTACTCAAACCGGGGAAACCAGCCAACAAAGGAAAGTCTTATCGGCCGATAACTCTCCTCTCTCCAGTAGTGAAGACACTTGAGGCCTTACTGCTTCCGACTTTCACTCGCCATCAGCATGGCTTCCGAAAAGTGCAGAGCACCACAACAGCACTAAACGCCATAAACACCCAGATAGTCATGGCCTTAACCAAAACCGACCCTGTGCGCGAACTGTCCTGGTAGCACTGGACTTGTCAAAAGCTTTTGACACAGTCAATCACTCAGTGCTACTAACGGACATTGAAGAATCCTTATTAGCGCCGGGGTTGCAGAGGTGGGTCATGGGCTACCTGAGTGGTCGACAATCATCGGTAATATTTCGAGGTGTAACATCAAAACCCAGAAAAAATAAACAGAGGGTTCCGCAGGGAAATACTCAAAGCGCTAACCGGCCGCACCTGGGGTAAAGACAAAGAAACTTTGCTGGCTACTTATAAGGCAATTGGTCGGCCGGTCGTAAACTATGCTACACCGATCTGGGTGCCGGGGACGACCGAAACGCAGATGAAGAAGTTACAGGCTTGCCAGAACACCGCTCTCAGGACCGCGACAGGAAACCTCCTGATGTCACCGGAGCATCACTTGCACAGCGAAACATCTATGATACGAGTTAAGGAGCATAATGCTTTGCTGTGCACGCAATTCCTATTGAGATGCTATCGCAGGGAGCACCTCAGTAGGCACCTAATAGATGCTGAACCTCCACCTTGGCTCATCAGAAAAGGAGTGCTAGATTTAAAGGACACAATCCAGCAACACGTACAAGAACCGCTGGACAGGATGGCGTACAGACAAGCACTGAACGCCATTCACCAGGAGTCGGTCGACGCCTTTATAGACTCCCTTCCAGAGAATGGCATACTCGAAGAAAAACCACCACCTATAGCAGACAACGAGCTCGAGCTGCCTCGAGAGAACCGCGTGACCCTGACACAACTTAGGTCTGCATATTGTAGCAGGTTAAACTACTACTTGTCCAGACTAGACCCCAACATACCCAACGTATGCCCTGCATGTGAATAATCTCTGTAGGACAGTAACCACATGCCCTTCACAAACCAACTCATGTAACCCCCCTCTCCCTTTGGTCCAACCCCGTCGAAGCAGCTCGGCGACTTAGACTGATCAAACCTGTGCCTAAGCGGAGTTAGCGAACCGCTACAACAACAACAGAGACCCGCCTGACCCTGGCACAACTGAGGTATGGATATTGTAGCAGGTGAAACTCCTACTTATCCAGACTCGACCCCAACATACCCAGCCTATGCCCTGCTTGTGGAAAGTCTCCGCACGTAGCTGTACCGCTACAAAAACAACAACAACGACTCCAGTAGTTGAGAGCGATCAGATATAAAATACTCGGACCCAGACTGGTGTCTTGAAGTGATCGATGCGAATTGTCTATGGACCAATATGACAAGGCTACAAGTTCGTAGTAACATCAGGATGCATATCTGGATTGCCAAGAAAAAAGTTGAAAGTGGTAAATTGGGAGAGACTCGCAGCAATTAGATTTAGGTGGACCGCAGTGTGGGGAAAACACCAAATTCGAATGTGAGTTAAGAGGGAGAGGCCAATAACTTTATCATTTTCTGGATAGAATGCTCGATGTCGAGAAAATTCAAAGAGTGTCTTTTAGAAGATGCATGCGAGCAATATAAGAGCGAAGCGCGTACTGTTGGCAAGTTCAGTTGAGTTTGGAACCCGGTATTAACTTCATCAAAGTTAAGTGAAGCGAATGAAACTGTGTATTTACAGGAAATGAGTCAGGTATTAGAGGTGTAGAAGCTCCTATCGTGTAAGTAAACTGAATTTTTATTTATTCAGTTATTAATAAAAGTTTATTAAGTTCTTTTCAAATAAAATTGTACATTGTACTTGTATTGTACTTTTATTTAACAATCCAGTGATCGAACTCGAAGCATTTGGTATATTTAGAAAATCGTTACAATATCAGGTTCGTCAACACTGCTCTATTTAATTCCACATTTTGGTTGTTAGCACTGTTCAACGTCATCTTTTTGATTTATCCGGTGAAGTCCATTAGCGTGAGCGAATACATAACATTACCTTAAGAAAGAGCCGGTTGTAGTAGACGAATTAAATTTTTATAGTAGTAATTTAACCTGTTTTTGTTAAATTAGTGAAAATACAATTAAAGTGCGGTGAAAAACTTGAGTAAAGTTCACAATAATTGGTTAGTATGTAATTTTTATTTTTAAATTCAGCTTTTCTTTGTGTTTTATGTTATATTAAGGGAAGGGATTACTCATTTTGTGAGAACTATTTCGTAGATACAATGAAATATAATGAAACCCGATTAGTGCTCACATAGAGGAATAAAATTTATAAAAGATGATATCCTTGTAATGATTTTAAAATCGAATAAGGTACCAAACGGTTGTTCACTCGATATTAATTCGTCGTCGTATGATTAAAAAAAGAATACCTCACGTTTATTTTATGTATCTTAATTGAACTTAATTCACTAAATTCGGTAGGCGGATATATGTATAGTTCCTGTATCTTTTTATTTATTAGTTATTTTCATTTTGGTCGCTATAATTCCTTACTAACTAATACATTTTTGTAATCTTGTACATGAAACAGATATAAAAGCCTATAAAAATTGTATTTTGAGAGTAAGTTATAATTTTTCGTGTTTATTATTCATACAAAAATCTAAGTATTTATATGCATATACCTTACGGGGATTCAAAGGTCGCGAAAACCGGTTTTTACCGTATTTTATTAAAACGGTAAGTTTTATCATTAAGTTGTATAGATCAGAAAATTATCTATATACATATATCTTCCTAAGAGTAACGGTTTCAAAATTATGAATAGTTTTCTATATGTATGAAATTATTTGACCTGATTGACTGGCGAATCAACGCATAGACTAAACAGCCTATCGTGAAACGTGGAGGATGTATTCTATGTAGGATTGATAATGGGACACAATTTTTTATTGGATATTGTAATGTAACGATGTTCAGTGATGGTTCCGAAACAACGAACTAATTTTGATCAAAATGGTTATTCACTATTGATTGGATCTCACTTAAAAGAAAGTCTAGTTTTTTTTTCAAGAAGTGGATCCGGGAGATCATCGCGTGCAATCATCGTTATATAAAGTTCTCCCATGCATTTTTCGCACCCGATTTTCATTCAATTATGGGTACAATACACAGAGTACGCCTTTTCTATGGCTTGTGCTACCTGTTGATTTTTCAGGCACTTAAGACAATTAATTCCATACATATGGAATACAAAAAATCCAACTTTTGAATTTCAAAACAGTTGCTCTTAGAAAAAAAGTGTTAAGACGTATTTTATGCAGAGACGAACTACAGTAATGGCACAGCAAGATAGTTCAACTTCACATTTTTTTGACCACTTATTTAAATATTTTTAATTTCCGAAAAAAAAATGGTAAACAGAGGGACACATTTTCTACTATTTTGACTTTAATTAAATTTATTATTTTTTATGTTAAATTAATACTAATTGTAAATGAAAAAAGTACTAATTTTCACCAAACAAAAGTATTTGCACATTTCCTAAAAACGCAAAAAAATTATAAGAAAAGGGAAAAATATTAACGAAATTATATCTTTTAGCCAAGCCTTCATGTTTGATGTTGTTGTTGTTGTAGCGGTTCGCTAACCCAGTTTAAATACAGGTTTGATTAATATAATTCCTCGAGGTCTTCTAGTGGGAGGTCGAAGATACGAGCTTATTCGATGAGATTGGACCAAAGGGAGATGGGGTTAGTAGAGTCGGTTTAAGGGGGGCATTTGAAGAGGTGATTAGTGTCGGGCGGAGACTCTCTCTAAACAGCTCGAGCTCGTTTTCTGCAATGGGTGGTGGTCTTACTCCTAGCATGCCATTTACTGGAAGGGAGTCCTCGAAGGTGTTGACTGACTCCTGGTGAATGGCATTCAGTGCTTGTCTGTACGCCGTGCGGTAATAGGTGCCTATATTACCGATTATTGTCGACCATTCCGGGAGCATATGACCCACCTCTGCAACCCCGTCGGTAATGGCAATGTCCGTTAGTAGCAGTGAATGGTTGATTGTGTCAAAAGCTTTTGACAAGTCCAGTGCTACTAGGACAGTTCGCGCGCAGGGTCGGTTTTGGTTGAGGCCATGGACTATCTGGGTGTTTATGGCGTTTAGTGCTGTTGTGATGCAGTGCACTTATGCTGCTGGACGCAGATGGTTGTTGTTGTTGTTGTCACCGCAAAAATATTTCCAAAAAGTACTCTTTGGGGAATGTTGCGGAAGTGACAGTCCTTGGCCGGATAAAAATCCGGGTCGTTCCGGTATAAAGACCCGACTGTCGTGGGAACTATTAGATTTTAGTCGCATCTTACGACAGGCATGCCTTATCGCGTGTAAATTCTTGAACCACTAAGCCGCAGGGTTACGCAGATGGTAAGTACAGGTCTTTGCTACTGGAGAGGGGAGAGTTATCGGTCCATAAGACTCCTTTGTTGACTGGTTTACCCGGTTTGAGTAGCGGGACCATCCTGCCCGTTTTCCACAGGTCAGGTATCGTTAGAGTGGTCAAAGACAAGTTGAGGGCCCTCATGAGAAATTCTGCTCCCGCTGGTGCAAGCTGTTTTTAGCACCAGCATGCTTATTCCGACGGAGCCGATGGAGTTGGAGGCTTTCGCCTTTCCAAGTGAGCTAAAAGGTGCTCGCGCATCTCATCGAGTCCGACGAGACGCGACCACCGAAAGAAATTTCCACTCGGTCATCGCCTTGTCGGGTTTGACAACAACTTGAACGGTGCCCAGAGCTTGGTTGCCCCAGAGAAGAGGCTGCATGTCTTCAAGTTTTCCTCCCACTTTTTCCGCTTATCGTTGTTAACTACTCTGCGAATTTCCACGCTTAAATCCCTGATTAGAAGATTCCCGGGGTGGGAATTTCGAAGGATTTCGCGTCTCGATGCTAATACCGCCGCTTCTGGTGTAAAATTTGGGCGGATTTCTGCAATTCGGCTTGCCGGGATGAAGCGGACGGCATAATGTCACGCCGATCTTTCTAACTTCTCCACTGCAAAACAGCTAAAAATACAACCGACCAAATCCTCGGCTACCTTCTTCACCAGCTGGGCGAAGTAGTACAGGCTTGAACAGGCCGGTCGAAAACTATGCTACATCGATCTGGACGCCGGGGACGAACGAGACGCAGATGAAGAAGCTACAGGCTTGTCAAAACACCGCCCTCAGGACTGCGACAGGAAACCTCCTGATGTCGCCGGAGCATCACTTGCACAGGGAAGCATCTATGCTACGATTTAAGGAGCATAATGCTTTGCTGTGCAGACAACGAGCTCGAGCTGCCTCGAGAGACCCGCGTGACTCTGACACTACTCAGGTCTGGATATTGTAGCAGGTTAAACTCCTACCCATCCAGACTAGACCCCAGCATACCTAACGTATGCCCGGCATGTGGAGAGTTCCCACACGACACTAACCACTTCTTCACATGCCCCCTCAAACCCACTCATCTAACCCCCCTCTCCCTTTGGTCCAACCCCGTCGAAACAGCTCGTTTCCTGGACCTACCACCAGATGACCTCGGCGACTTAGACTGAACAAGCCTGTGCCTAAGCGAGGTTAGCGAACCGCTACAACAACAACAACAACATGTCACCGGAGCATCACTTGCACAGCGAAGCATCTATGATACGAGTTAAGGAGCACAATGCTTTGCTGTGCACTTGTGCTGCTGGGCGCAGATGGTTGTTGTTGTTGTCGTTGTTGTTGTTGTTGTTGTCGTCACTGCAAAAATATTTCCAAAAAGTACTCTTTGGGGAATGTTGCGGGAGTGACAGTCCTTGGCCGGATAAAAATCCTTTTCTTAATCCAATAAATACGTTTTGCGCCCTAATAAGAATATTCCACTCAAACCAAAATACTTAATAATACTTAATGCTTTACAGTTTTTGCTGTGTACTTTTGTTGATATTCGGTATTTGGTGATTATCGTGAATATTTACGCGATCTCTTACATGGTAGTCTTTGATTCGTTCCTTTCCAAAATATTGCTCCATTTCTTTGACGAAACTAAATATATGCCCTAAATTCGGTTTTGTCAATAACGGTACTTTTCTTGGGTTGTGGGCACCCAAGCCGCAGCACAACAAGTGCTGGAAAAAAGTTTTAAAATTGACTGTTATATTAACTGCATTCCAGTCCTTAGTAGCACTTGATGGCATCACATACAATTGTAAGTGCGCAATCAACTATGTTCTACTCGGGAGTGCGATACCTGTTTCTCGACATCACTTAATAAATATCAATAAAATTTTATCACCAATACAAAGTATTTCTTCAAGGAGTAGGCGCCTCACAATGATTTTCAAAACTTCAAAAAAAATATATATATTTATTGTTTCTTGCGTTTTTTTTTACACACTTCACGATTTTATGCTGACACTAAAGATGTAATATAAAATTTTTATCACTTTTATATGAAGGGCGATAAGCACTACTAAGATTTTTACCGCAACTGTACGTCTTCCTTCCCTGGTTTCTGCCAGCTCCTTCTCTAACAGGTCTTTCTAACGGAGTGGAGGTCTTCCTTTTCATCTGCTTCCATCGACGGATACTGCATCGAAAACTGCAAGAGTTGGAGTATCCATCCGGACCACATGAGCTACCCTGCGCAACCGCTGTTTCTTGATTCGCTAACCTATGACAATGTAGCCGTATACCTCAGAGGACCAAAAATCTGACTCAAAATCTTTCTCTTGAAAATTTTTAACGCCGACTCATCAGATGTTGTCATCGTCCCTACCTCCATATACAGGACGGGAACGATAAGCGACTTGTAAAGTTTGGTCTTCGTTCGCCGAGAGAGAAATTTACTTTTCAATTGCCTATTCAGTCCAAAGGAGCACCAGTTAGCAAGAGTGATCGGCCCCGCTTTGTTGTTTTTCAAGCGGCCGATTGCTATTCGGATACCTTCATAGTCAGGCAATGAAACATTTGTGCCATTGTTAACGATTTGGGAATCGGGTACATCATCTCCAAAAATATTAATTTGATAGCGTGCAGTTTTACAGTTTAAAAGTTATTAACATTTAAAGTTACACTTTTTATATGTAAAGAGTGTACTCCCTAGTGAATTAAAATATTTATTTATTTTTTTTTTATTTATTTATTAAAATTCAAAGCATTAGTACATTAAGATATAATATTTTCTTAAACAATGTTACATACATAAGACAAAATAAATATAAAGTATTTATAAATAAGTAAAATAATATATTCTCGAAAAATTTTGAGTTTATAACTATAATTCCTATTAACTTTTGATGAAGAATAGTTAGAGAAAAGTTTCTTGAAGTCGCTTTTGTGCAACGCGTTGTTCAAGGACAATGGAGGGCAATTCCAGAGCCTAACCTCATTGTTATTTATTATTTTCAGATAAAATGAGTGACGACGCAAGTGATAATCAACAAAATAATGGATCAGCAACTCCATCTAGTACGCCTCCAACACAAGACAGTAATGGGAACACATTTGAAAAAATACAACAACATGTTCGAAGCAATAAGGTTGACGTTGCTATGTGGGCCACTCGCATACTAACAGTACTTTTTACATTTAGTTACGTGTTACCGATATTAAGGTTGATATGAATATATTTATATATAAACATAAATTCTGCAAGTAAACACTATCTTTTTTACAGTAACCAACAGAGTTCTTTTAATAAAGTATTACTATCTAATGCAGCAACATCAGCGCTTCGTTTGCATCAACGTTTACCATCGTTTGCATTTACGAGAGAATTTTTGGCGCGTCTTTTTATTGAGGATTCGTGTCATTATCTTATGTTTTCATTAATATTCTTTAACGTGCAACCTACATTGTTAATTCTCATTCCAATATTTTTATTTGCTGTCCTACATGCATCAAGCTATTCATTGAAATTATTGGACGTGAGTAACAAGTCAATAATTATATTTAAGTAAATATTATGATGTTCATACCATTTTTTTTATTTAACAGATCGTTGGACAAAATTCTTGGTGGGGAGCAAGATTTTTAATTTCATTGGTTGAGTTCCAGGCTAGTAATATATTGAAAGCAGCCGCTTTTGCAGAAATTTTTATAATGCCACTAGCTGTAGTTTTCACTTTTAGGTAAGTGAATATACTGATCTTTCTAAATAAGTGTACGAAGTTTCAAGTCACTTCAGGTTACATGCAAGGTTTACAGAATAGAAAGTTACGATAAAAATAATAGGTTTAATGACGAAGTTGGTTTAATTTTGTCAGTTGCAAAGAATTATAAAATATATCCGCATAATTTTATCCATGAAACTGTTTAAAATTTCGAATATAAAATTTCGAAGTCATGCATTGCACTTTTGTAAAATCAATATTAATTAAATTTAATAATTTTTTATGTTGACCAAATTTATTTTATATTTCACAAATATTATATTATTAATATAATTATTATTTTGAGCAAAAATGTTATTTTCAACAAAAAACGTTAATTTAAAAAAAGTCAAAAATACTGTATAATATATATACATATGAGAAGGAGAGTAAAGTATTCTTAAAAAAATTCTGACCGTATTTATGGTGTTTATAAGTTTTTTTTTTGTTAATATACATATGTAAATATTATATCAAGTCTTTCCCACCCTAAATATGACGAGTTTTTTTTTCAGCGAAGTCAAATAAAAAAAGCCAGAACGTTGTTGTCAGTTATGTTCAAGACTCTGTATATTCTATTAATAGGATTGCATAATTTCAAACGAAAATATATTCAAGTATTTGAGAGAAATAAAGGTTTAATCTCATATATCTACTAATAAATAAAATAATATCTTCTGAATAAAATCTATCAGTCAGTTTAGCTGCAAATTCCACATATAGTGGTTTAACACTAGAATTTATTTACAGTATGGCAAGAAACAGTTCATACAAAAAAAAATATATATTTTTTTTACTTTACGTAAAAAATCTTCTGTTATATTTAATGGACTTTTTTAATGCAAAATTATTTCACAGTATCTTAACAGTTAACATCACTAAAAAATTAACAAAATTAATAATAATCAACGAAAAAAACAACAGAATATCAGTTTACACATATTTGATACGGTCAAGAAAGTGTTCACACAATCTGTTATCCCCTTTGTTTCGATCTCGTTTTTGCCTGAAAAGATAATTAACCGTTATCTATGCTTCTGTAATTGCTCATGGCAATGCTCTATTTGCATTTCTTTTGGTTTGGTTGTGAAATTTTGCTATGAGCGCATGCAAAAAGTTACTCTTAAGAATTTATAAAATGTCCGGTAAAGGGTTGTCATTAGAAGTTAATCAATAGATTTACTACAAATACCAATGAGGCAAATCGGCTCCGGAAAAAAACAAGTTTTCTGTATCACGGAAAACGAGGGGAGGATTGATGCAAGGAGTAGAGGTGGCCATAAGCGAAAAATTTATGAACCGTCGGCCCGCATAATCATGCGAAAAGCTGACCGAAATCCGTAAATTACGGTGAGACCTCTTGCTCAGGAGCTTAAAGAGGAATATGACCTTGATGTTTCACACGAAACTGTGCGCCAAGCCATTCTGCGATACCGAACAAGCTTTCTGTGGTCAATGCAAATCTCAACCCCATTGAAAATCTGTGGGTTTGGTGGGAAAAATGTGTAAACTGACATTTCGTTGTTTTTTTCGTTGAATATTATGAATTTTGTCAATTTTTTTTTGATTTCAACTGAAAAGATATTGATATCATTTTGAATTAAAAAAATCCAATAAGCATAATAGAAGTCTATAATTTTTTCACGAAAAGTAAAGAAAATGTATTATTTGTAGTATGTAAAGTGTTTCATGACAAATTGTTTCTAATATAATAAATTCCACTATTTTCCAAAAATAGTTTGGAGTTTTCGAAACTAATGGCAATATTTTGTTTTGATTTTTTTTTATCAAATCAAGGTTTAGACCATGATACAAAAAAGGTAGTTACTCAATATAAAATTGACAGAAAAAGATTTTTTTGACATTAAGATATTAAGATATTGCCACTTTAAAAATATTTTATATATTTTTTGTATAAAAAAATGTTAAGCCGCCTGAAATTATTTTTATTTCTATTTTATTTCAGTAAATACAATGCAAAGCCTTTAAGTTTTTTGTGAGAACGTTGTATTTTTCTTTATTTTCTGTTTACACTGAAAGGTTTTGCATTTATTTTAATTTTAGAAAGTTGAAAAGAAAATTGGCAGCACAAAAATAAAGCAAAAGTCTTAAAATCTTTTGAAAATAATATTTAATATCATTAATATTTTTGAAAATTTTTTTTAGTGAAACTACCTTGTTTTTGTATCATGGTTTAGACTTACATATAATTAATTCTTCGAATTGTCGCCTTTCTGAAGGGAAGCTCTACGTGAGTTTATTTCTGACATGAAATAAAAGGCCGTTCGGTGGCAGCTTAGAATAAACTTTTTTTTTGGAAAATCGCTTCAACAGGTTACACATAGCGTCGATACATATATGTGTATATATATTTCTTTTTATTTATTTATTTAATAATAATAACAAAGCATTAGTACAATAAGATTCCATATCTTTTTTAGTACCACAGAGATAGTGTGAAGAATAAGTAAATATTACTTTACAGATACATTAACAAAAATAATAATAATGTACTGAGTATAACAAAAATTTGAACAATTATTAAATGGTCAGCCTATGTTTGAAATTTGGCCTTTAAAATGCATGTATATGTGGTTCTTGAAATTGCTTCTGTTTAATTTCCTCCTTAAATTAGCAGGAAGAGAGTTCCATAATCGACTAGCATTGACAAAGAACAGCCTTGATGATTGCTGTGATTTATGAAAATGTATTATAATTTTACCTACTCTTGCGGACCGAGTAATCGATAACTTGGAAAAAAAGATAACTAGGAGATTGAGTCATAATGAGTTTGCAAAGAAAAATACAATTTCTGGCATTAAGATAGTCCGCAATCGTACTTCCCAATGTCTGATCTTTCCAAGACGAGATGTGCTTATACTTGGAAAGACCAAACACATACCGTGTGACATTATTAAACATAACATCAATTTTTCGAGCAGACAAACTGACATGTTTGCTGTATACGACTTCAGAGTACATGATAACCGGGAGAATAATTTGTATAGCAAGTCGGCGTCTGGTAGCAGTGGGTGTATAGATAGCTGACTGCCTACGATTCCTCAGAATGAGATAGACCTTACTAACAATGGAATTTACATGATCCGTGCATGTAAGATTAGAGTTAATAATGTATCTTAAGTTTTTAATCTTGCTGACTAATTTTAAGGGACAATTGTCTATGAATATTGGGGACAGATTTGTCAGTTTTCTAGCACTGATTGGCAGCACACAGCACAGCCCAGCTAGAGATATTAGCCAAGTCAGTATTAATGCTTTTAACTGAATGTCATCAGCATAACCATGCAGGTTTGAAAATTTGCACACACTGAAGATGTCATTAATAAATATGCTGAAAAGCAGGGGACCAAGGATGGAGTCTTGAGGCACCCCTGACGTAACTGGCTTGAGTTGCGTAGGTGTCTTCCCCAATTTTTACTAACTGAAACCTGTCAACAAAGTAGTTTTTCACAAGCTTTAAAGCACTACAACTAAAACCATAGTATGCTTTCAACTTACAGCTTAGTAACTCATGGTTGACCATATCAAATGCTTTTGAAAAGTCAAGTAAGCAAAGCAGGGAGAATTTATTTTTATCCATGTTGGATCGAATGTGTTCAGTGATCTTTAGTACCCCAGTACTACAGCTGTGATTTTTCCTGAAGCCCGATATATATATATATATATATGTATATATGTATATACATATCTAAGTTTAAATGTATACATATAATCTCGTATACTGTATACTCTTTTAACACTAGATTTCATAATGAAGTATTCCGAAAAAAGGCTGATCGTTACAACCATTTTTTATCGTAAACTTATCCTTTCTACCAAAATTTACATTTACTGTTTTTTCCTTAATCTTCTGCATTTGTTGTTGTTGTTATAGCCGCAAAAATTTTTCGGGAGAACGGATAAAAATCCGGGTTGTTTCGGTATAAATACCCGACTGTCGCGGGAACTTTTGGATTTTAGTCGCCTCGTACGGTAGGTTTGCCTTATCGCAAGAAAATTCTTGAACCACTACCCCGCCCGTGTTCTTCTATTTTTTGGTATTCATAAGTGGTATTATGGGATCCGTAAAATTGATGGGTACAATTATTTTGAAAATAATGTTTTTATATTTGTTTTGTTTGTATTGTATTCTTCCTTTTTGTTGGCATTGGCACCGCTGACACGATTATAGCCGAATCAGTTATAACGTGCCTTCCTCCTTTCCTTTTTGCTATTGGGCGCTAGTTGGAAATACCAAGTGATACAAAGTCGCTCTCCACCTGATGAGTGGAAGTCTTTCTTTGCCCCTGCTTCCACTAACAGGTATTGCATCGAATATTTTCAAAGCTGAATGCTTTCATCCATTCGGACTACAAGACCTAGGCAATGTAGCCGCTGCATTTTCGTTCGCTAGCAACTTGTAGATTTTGGTTTTCGTTCGCCGAGAGGACTTTACTTTTCAATTGCTTTTTCAGTCCAAAGTTGGAAATGTGGCAAGAGTGATTCTGCGATGGATTTCAGGGCTAACATTATTATTGTTGTTAATCTGGACTCTAGATAGACGAAATCATTTACAGCTTCGAAGTTATGTCTGTCAACAGGGTCGTTGGAGCCGATATATATCGTATTGTCTTCATTCACTAACATACCCATTCGCTTCGCTTCAAGATCTAACGGGGCAGTTGTTAAGGCCTATGATTATATATAATCGGCATCCGGCAGTACTTGTACTCTCTTGTAAAAGGTTGTACCTTCTCTATTCAGCTTTACAGCTCTTATTATTCTCTCCAGCATAAAATGGAAGTAATCACACTGTATAAATTGACCCAGTCTAAAACCCATTTGGTATCGAACGTCTCGGAAAGGTCCTTCTCGATCCTGACTGTGCTTCTGGTGTTGCTCAAGGTCAGTTTACATACCCGTATAAGTTTTGCGGGAATACCAAGTTCAGGAATAGCGACGTAGGCAGTTCCTTATCGTGCTGTCGAAAGCTGCTTTAAAATCGACGAAGAGGTGATGATCCTCTGATCCTCTCTTCACGAGTCTTTTTCAAGATTTGACGCATGGTGAATATCTGGTCAATGTTTGACTCACCTGGTCTAAAACCACACTGATAAGGTCCAATCAGTTTGTTGACGGTGGGCTTAAGTCTTTCACACAATACGCTCGACAGGATCGTAGATGTGATATTAAGGAGGCTTATTCCACGGCAATTGGAGCAGACTGTGGGATCATCTTATTTGTGCAATGGGAGAGCACATGTAGTTTCCAAACGTGGGGCATGCCTTCATTCGACCATATTTTGCAAAGAAGCTGATGCATGCATCTGCTCAGTTCTTCACCGCTGTATTTGATTAGCTTGGCCGTTACTTCATCGGTCCCGCCATTTTTTGTTTTTTAAGCGTGCGATTGCTGTTCGGACTTCTTCATGGTCGGGTAACGGAACAACTTTTCCATCGTCATCAATTGGGGTTTCGAGTTCACCATATCCCGGTGTTTCATTTTCACTGCCAATCAGCAGGCTGGAGAAAAGTTCCCTCCATAAATTCAGTACACTCTGTATTTACATATCCTTTCATAGAATTTTCGGGCATATCTTTGTCGGCCAGCTTCTCAAGCTCTTTATAGCCACGCATTTTGGCCCTTTTTGTCTGCAAATTCGGTTTGCTCTTCAGCTCTCAGTATCTATTACACCCCGCGCGCGGTATGGCTGATCGGAAGGTTGAGAGATACTCCCATTAGGGGAGGTTCCGTCGTGTAGGCTGAATTTTGCGATGTTCGAGGGGCTCGTAAAAGGCATCCTTGGTCACATCTTCCTTCTCTTCCGCCAGAGCGTGGACGCAAATCAAAGATATGTTTAAAAAAATTTTGCTTTGATGCGGATTGTGGCGAGACGTTCATCCACAGGAGTGAATTCTTCTTCCACCACAAATACGACACCAAATTTACGCTTCTTTTTAATTGGCCGCTGTAGTATATTTCGCACTTCTTGGACGGCGGTTAATTATATTTGGACATCAACCAGCTGGGCAGCGGTACCTTCCCCATTAAAGAACATTCCAGGTGCATGCCTTCAAATCGTAATCCTTACAACATTTGCGTGGGTCGTTGTCAAAAAGGGGGCTCTCATCCGAGGCTTTTTGATTTTTTCATTGGAGTTGTGTTTCTTGTGGTGGGTACCCCTACCCACAACCGCATGGGATTCGCGGTCGGTGGAAGTCGTGAGCTGCTTGAACCATATGCAAAAGAATCGTTTCTTCTCACTACCAGGTGAATGGCAGTCAAAAAATTTCCTCGCTTGCGTGAACTTTTACACATGGCCCTATATTCCGCACGTGTTCTTCTACCTTTTGATATTCATTAGTGGTTTTATGGGATTCGTAAAAATGATAGGCACGATTATTTCGAAAATAATCTCTTAAAATGTTTTTTGTTAGTAACAATTAATCGGATAGTATTAACTATATAAGTCATTATTTTAGGGGGCTACTGAACTCAAGAAAAGAAAATATCTTTCGAATTCATTTAGGTTGTTGTTGTTATTGTATTTGTGATGTTGCATTTATAATGTACCAATGCTTGATAAGGGCGGGGTCAACAAGTTTTGGTTTTTACAGAGAGGTTCTGCCTTCTGTAGATATGGTTACAAAAGGGGTAACGGAATTAGAGCACAGTATTTTTCACGTTGACCGATCACCTTTCTCATGCAATCACCCATAAATCCAAAAAATTTAATAAGACATTAGTAAAATACTTAAGATCAATTGACGATAGTTTAATCGTGTTTGCGGTTAATATCCAATGCAAATACAACACATGTACTGCTATTATTTCAACTAATTTTTAACAATTATCAATATGCTGCCTTGGCCAAAAGTATTAGGCATCCCACTAATTATTGAATTTTTTGTTTTAACAAGTGAAGTAATGAAGTTTTATTAGTAAAACAATGAAAATACAAAGAATTATTGATAATAACATAACAAAAACGGCAGCAATTCTCTTAGCCATGCTGCATACAAGCTTTGCACATTCGTCCGCACTTATAGCGCGCCATTCTTTGATGTTATACTGTGTTCCTTAATTAGCGTTTTAAAAGAGCCCATTCGTGCTCAATGGGATTAAGATCTGGAGACTGTGCAGGCCAATCTAACAAAGCAATGTTGTTATCTCTAAAACCAACGCATCATAGTTGCTGATTTATGACAAGGAGCACTGTCTTGCTGAAATTTAACCCCTTCTAAATTAATGTCGCCGAAAATGCGCCTTAACGAAGGCAGAAGAACAGCTTCTAATACATTTATGTACTTTTGACTGTCCATGTTAAAAGGGAAAATGAAGCTCTTGCTTAAATTTTTTTGCCGGCTTACACGGCAAAGCAATTCCAAACTTATTTCCGTTTTGATATCTTTATCATATGGTGGCTCTAAATCTTATAATAATTGCCGAAATGCAATGAATCTTTTTATTAAAAACCTTTGAAACAGAAAGTAAATGAACAAATTCAAATTTAACAGCCAACAAAAAAGCTGTTGTCAAGTAGTAGGCTAATTTTTACTAAATTCTGTTCGATGAATACTCAGTAAATTTCTTTCTTTGAGAGAGTACCTCTCAATTTCGATACTGGCTAATTTTTACGGACATTTCTTAACGAATACAGCTAATGTTGAGACCTAGCAGTTATCAAATAACAAGCTTAAATACTTTTCGTCGGATACACCTGAAAATATAAACAAAAAGTTGTCATTGGGTGTGGTTCGTACAGCTTCCTGTTCTTTCGAATAACGAATAAGCAAGAAAACATCTATTATTATTTAATTTATTTATTCCATTATAGACATATAATTGGATTCTAATGTTCACTTAAGCTAATAACTTTGCCTTTAAATAACTTCGCGCTACCTTAGAAAACTACGAAAGCATTCTAATATTACCCTAACGTTTGAAGCTATATTATTTATTAGTTTTAAACCACAGTACTCGGCCACAAAATCCGAGTGGTAAGCATTGCGTACTAACATCCGGATGGGCATGGTTCGAATCCTGGTACGACGAGCATCCAAAATGATAGAAACCCTGCGGGTTAGGGGCTCAAGAATTTACCCGTGGTAAGGCATGCCTGTCGTAAGAGGCGACTAAAATCCAATAGTTCCCGCCACAGTCGGGTCTTTATACCGGAACGACCCGGATTTTTATCCGGCCAAGGACTGTCACTCCCGCAATATTACCCGAAAACCAATTCGGGGATTAATTTGCGGTTACAACAACAACAACTACATGGAAAATTAACTTTTTTAATTGCAGTCACACCTCGGTAGAAAATATCAAGCCCTCCGAATTTATTTGTGACATGAAATTTATTTCATTTGTTGGAAAAATATTAAAATACATACCACAAATACTTATGTTTGTACCATTGCCATAAACTTCCTCGTAAGGGATACATATGCGTTGATACAATTTGTTTGCATTTACTGAAAAAATTTAGAGAATACTTAAATAAATTAAACCTTATTTACTAATCGGTATTGAATTTTATTTTTTCTTTTTTTCAGAGGAAGAGCAGGCCTTATGACCCCTATCGTTTATTACCATTTCTTGGTAATGCGTTATGGTTCCAGACGTAATCCCTATACCCGAAATGCTTTTGCAGAACTTCGTGTAAAAGCCGAGGCGCTGGCAAGTTCATCGCCTGCTGTTGTTGGTAAAGTCATTCATAGTGGTATTGCTTTCGTAAATCGTTTAGCGCCGCAACAACAACCAGAACAGCCACCACCAGCTCAATAAACCTTCTACGTTCCTTAGTTAAATTACTGTTTCAAAACATAAGACATTTTTTTCTAATAATATTCTATTTTACTAAGAAGTACCTTAAGAAATAAAAGCAATTGGAATTCATAACTTTAAAATATTTTTCTCAAGGATTATAGAAATAATATAAAAATAGAATTATATAAAAAAATATAATGTTTATATTAAATTGAAATAAAGTATTGATTCTTAAAATCCTTAATTAATATATCATTATGACTTACGATTGTCTATATATCATTATAATTTAACGATTATGTCCGTATCTATGTTTTTTGTTCAATGTTCACTAAAATCTATTTTTTAGTTCACTGGTGTAATGTGCAATTATAAATAAAATCTAAATTCAATAAACAAATCTTGTATGTCGTGGGAGTAAATTTTTCATTCCATAAATTTTTCACACCAGAGTTTTAAATAATATGTAGCAGTTCGCCAATAGTGGGAATAATAATTAATATTAATAACCACCGGTATTCTAATTTATATTTAATTTTCATATTGGCAGCCATAGTAGCAAATTAGATAAGCTCGGCAGATAGTCGCTTTAGCCGTCACTGTAGTCAAGTGTTTATTATTTGTTCGGATATGGTTGTAAGCAAAATCTTAAAATTATTTTTTTCCCGTCAGAACATGCAAACGTATTAGCAGTTGCTCAAGCAACCGTTTCCAGACGATTAAAATCATTTTTTCACAATAAAGGCTTAATTTTCGAAAAAACCGCACGAATTAATGCATACACCCAATAGAACTTAACTATTCTAGAATGAAGAAATAATGGGACGAGCTGATCGACCTGTGTTAGAGGCAATTTTAGGTAAAGGATATGGATGCATTTCTCATTAATTAAAATTATACTTTACTGCAGAAATATATGTTAGTGTAGATTCGGCTTTGAAAATATAATAATGAAAACCTTGTTCACCAAAGGTGCGGCGGCAAAATTGGTGATTTATATTGTCATATCCGAAAGAAAAAAATAAGGACGATGTGCTCAAAGCGAAACTTTTGAACACATCGTTGATTAGCGCCCACGCCCTGGAAGTGTAGGACGATTTGGCCAAAGATGTCTTTTAAGAGCACCTAGATCATTTATGAGCGCTGCCCCGACACGTTGGGAAAATCTTTATTGGTAATCTTAATGTCAGGGTGGGCAAAGAAGGTATGTTGGAACGACTGTCTGAAAATTCAGCCTCGAACTTGAGACGTCCCCTATTGGGTGGAGGCTGATCGACTTCGCCGGGGCCTGAAATATGGTTGTCTGTAGTACTAGATCCCAACACAAGAAAACACATCGAGCTACTTGGCTGTCCCCTGATCGAAAAACAAAAAACCAGATCGATCTGGTTGTGATAGACGGAAGATATGTATCCAGTGTTCTTCACGTGTGTACACTACGAGAACCCTACATCCACTCGGATTAATATACCCGAAGCATATTGAATTTGTGGAGGAAATACTTCTCCGGCCTGCTGAATGGCAGTGAAAACGTAAATAATCGTTACCTGTATTTTTGTTTACTAAACAAAATTATTCACTTTGAAGTCGCTTACCCTCTTTTCAGATCTGAAGTGATAAAGTGGCTGATAAAGTCCCGGCCTAAAGTACTAAAAGGCGAAATGCAAAAATTAACCTTTAGTTCCGCACAAAAAGTGTGAACGGTGTTTATGTCCGTTTTTAAATTTGAAATCAGAAAAAAGTCATTGGAAGCCAGGATCGGACTGTAAGGCGGATGGTCAAACTGTAAATCCAGTAGCTTTAAGGGTATCCCTTGCAACCCGACTCAACAAATTATCGTAATACTGGCCGTTCATTGTAGTTTGGCAAGCAATCAATTAATAATATGGACTGGTTATTCCAGAAAATCGTGGCCATAACCTTTGATGCCGACTTTTCTACTTCTAATTTGTTTGGTTGTCTTTCCCCTTTTTTATCCACTGCAACGACTCCTGTTTGGCCTCGGGATCATACTATCGAGTCCAAGTTTCATCAACTCTTACAATCCGTTTACAAATTTCACCCAAATAACCTGTTCACAACTCCAAAAATCTTCACAGCTCTCCAATCTTCGCTGCTTGTCGAGCGGCGTGAGCATTCAAAGTAGCCAATGGGCAATAATTTTTTTATATTCAAATGTTCATGCAAAATCTCTCCAGCTCATTCTTCAGGTCTCTTCTAATCTGTAATTATAATGCTTTTTGCGACAATTTAATTATTAGATTCGTCAGTAATAATTTTTCGACATTCTCAACATTTTCTTCGGTCCCGACCGTTATTGGGCGCCCCGGGCGGGGGTCGTTTTTACAGGTCTCTCTTCCTTGTTGAAACAGCCGAGCCCATTTAATCACTATCGCATATGAAGGGGCAGATTCCTGATTCTTTTTTACAAGGAATATATTCACAGCACGATACTCCAAATTGTGAGAGTTTTCAGTTCCAATTGGTACAGTGATGTTGCTTGTTCCAGGAACGAGATGTTAATGAACATAATATGAAAAAGTTGTGTTATTTATACAAATAATGAGTCTCGTAATTACAATAGTAATATCAGTAACGAGAAGATAGTCATCTCTAACTACCTTAGGTAGCGACTTTATTAGCTGCCTTCGTATTTCATAATTTTTATTGTTCTTAGTTGATAATAATCATTCTTCGAGTTATACTCAAACATTCAAACAACAATAATTGTGAGCAAACAAGTATCGGTCAGAGAATAATCCTAATTTTTTTAGCCTTGCTTATTGGCATGCGCAATATACATACGTGTAAGTCTCGAATAATTTCCTTCTTTCCGAAGTTTTGGGAAAAATTTTCATATGCTGTTATCTGGTCGCCAAGGTAATAAAAACAATTTTCTGAGGAACATTTTCATCATTATGAATTATTTGTTTGAGGGTTTAAGCAAAGTGAGATTTCATACCTGTGCGCATCGTTATCAGAGGTCAGACCGTGGTTGCTGGGAGGCGAATCTGTCGAATACAGTGGATGTGGACTTTTATCCGTATGCAACACTTCAAGTGTCTACCTTCATAAGATAGTCATTCTTAACCCAAAATATCGTTTGTTGTACTTTCGAGCGCTTTGGACGAAGTTCACCAGTTGCTGTTCACTCAGCAGGCGATCGATTGAAATGTGATCGTGGTAAATATGAAGAATAAGAAACAAAACGTACTTGGCCTTAAGAATCGTATTTCTTGTTCAAATGTTCAGATTTACAATACGATACTGTAAACGACCGTGTAGCACTAAAGTGGTTTGCTAGGTTCCGTTCCGGTAATTTCGATGCCAAAGATGCACCACGGGTCGGAAGGCCTGTCGTCGAAAATTGCGATAAAATCATGGAAATAGTAGAAGCAGACCATCACGTGAGCACTAATTAAATTGCTGAGGAACTAAAGATAAACCAGAAAACCGTTTGGAACCATTTGCATAGCCTTGGATTCAAAAAGAAGCTCGATGTTTGGGTGTCATACGAACTTACGCAAAAAAACAACATGATGAACCGAATTTCCATCTGCGAATCGCCGCTGAATCGCAACAAAATCGACCCGTTTCTGAAGCGGATTGTGATTGGCGATGAAAAATGGATCACTTACGACAACCTCGAGCGCAAACGGTCGTGGTCAAACCTCAGGGAAGCGGCCCAGATGGTGGCTAAGACCGTATCGGCGGCCGGGAAGGTTTTGCTGTGTGTTTGGTGGTATTGGCAATTAATCATCTACTACGAGCTGCTCCCTTATGGCCAAACGCTCAATTTGGCCATCTACTGCCAACACATGGACCACTTGAAGGCAGCCCTCATCCAGAAGAGGCCATCTTTGATCAACAGACACCGAATCGTGTTCCATCAGGACATCGCCAGGCTGCACACGTCTTTGGTGAAGCGCCAGAAGCTTCAGGAGTTCGGATGGGAAGTCCTAATGCACCCACCTTATAGTCCGGACTGGCACTAAGTGATTACTATCTTTCCCTGTCCATGGCGAACGCGCTTAATGGTGAGAAGTTGGCCTCAAGAGAGGCCTGTGCAAATTGGCTCTCCGAGTTTTTCAAAACAGCGCATATTTAACCTAAATCGGACAAGTGTACACAAAGTTAATATATAATACAAAAAAACACAATTTTATTTAAATTTACTGGTGTAGGACCCGCTTAAGGGATTATAGTTTTAATTAATAACATTGCGCCATTCATTTGTTCTTTTCGCGGCGTCAATTAAATATATACAGCTTCCCGTCGGGGAAGAGAATACCGGACAAAGCATGCCGGTCGTAAAAGGCGACTAATATCTTGGCTACCAATCCAGGGCGATATGGAAGCCTAATTGGTAGTAACTCAGGTTACAAGGTCTGATCGGAGACTTAGAGCCTGGTACCACGAGGAACAGGAGCCCTTGGAACTTGTTCCGACCTTTTCATTGCGGCAAGGCCCCTAGGTGAGTATCGTGGGGACTCGGGCTTAAGCCCAAATGCGGGAAGTGCTGGCCTTCTGTCAACTAGGTGTGGAGCAGCGTTGCTACCGGGTGTCGGACCCATAGCACTGCAGAGGTTTTAGATGGGTCTTGAGCCTAACCAAGGTGGTTTGCGTGTCCTTATCTCACGGCCGATCGGTACCATAATATTAGTATTACCTTTTCTAATACTCTCACTATTAGGTGCTGATCAAACTGTTGATCCGTTATGTTTTTGAGCACCGTGAGGTTAGGCCGTCGTCGGTAGGTACTCACGTAAAGCATGTCTGATGATACCAAGAACAGCCAGGTTCTTCTCTACCTCGTCTTTCCAACGGAGTGGAGGTCTTCCTCTGCTTTCGCCGGGATGTGCTGCATCGAAAATTTTTAAAGCTGGAATATGCTTATCCATTCTGATACATGACCCAGCTAGCCCAGCCGCTGTTTCTTAATTCGCTGAACTATGTCAATGTGGCCCTATATCCCACACCATCTTCGGACTTTTCAAGATTTGGAGCTTGGTGAATATCTGGTCAATGATTGATCTACAACGTCTAAAGCAACACTAATAAGGTCGAATAACTTTGTTGACGATAGGATTCATTTTTCAACACTTTCTCAGCTCTTCAATGCCTCGTTTGAATAGCTCTGCCGGTGAGGCGTCAGCTCAAGCCGCTTTGTTGTTCTTTAGGGGAGCAATCGCTATTCAATCCTTGCCATAGTCAGATAAAGGAACGTTTTTTTACATCATGTTAGATATGGGTGTCGGGTTCAGTATAGTCGGGTATTCCACATTCAGCGCGATGGAGAAGTATTCTCTCCACAATTTCAGTAGGCTCTGGGGATCGGTTACTATATCACCTCTTTGTGTCTTACAAGAATCTGCTCCGGTCCTGAACTCTCCTGTAAGC